CGTGTGCTCTTCCGATCTATTCTAGTAATTTTAAAAAGAATAAGATTTAATAGATTAAAAACATAAATAATAAGGTAAAAATGTTTTGCTAAATTAATTGAAAATGCCTTAATTTATGTTACCATATAAAGATATGCTGTTATTATATACGTATAATAAAATAAGATATAGATTATGAATATGTTATACTAATATGTTTATGTTAAATAGAATTTTATAACAATAACACTAACAAAATAAATATATTTACTTTTTCTTCAATTTTATCATAATAAGGAATACAAAATTTAACCTCATAAATGTGTATTTATTTTAAATAAGGGCTATAGCTACAGTTAGCTAGATGTTTATGCCAATGATATAATATATTCATAAACATGCGTCATAATTTATGCAACTACGCAGCTCAGGATCCTGATTGAATTAATAGGTATTTTTCGCAAAAAGTTATTCTACAGAATTTAGTAAGACGCATTGACATACAAATTATTAACTTGCTTGTCAACTTAATTTGTGATATTATGTAATTCAGTTTCAGTTTGGAGCTACGTACGTTTCAATAAAATCTCGAATACGTATTTATGAGATCTATTTTCAAGGTGAACTTCTTCTGAGTTTCATCGATCACCTCACAATCAAACAAAGATGAATATATAATGATAATCAATTCTCAATTCTATTGATATTCCATTTATCTATTGATATTTCAAAAAACGTCGGCTAAAGTTTAACAAGAATGCGATTATGAATAAGCGCATAAGTAATACAAATTCAGTTCAAATGATATCTTCCAACTGCACTCTTCGTTTGTAAAAAAATGTCTTTCTGTAAAATGACAGTTCCTAACAATATGTCTACGAAAACTGAAGACTCAAAAGATATTTTGAAAAATTCAAATGAATATAGATACGTGATGATGTTTAAGAATACATTCGAGCGAGAATTATTTCCGAACAATTTCGACATCTGGACTGTACCAACAGCAGTGCATGTGGATAAACGATAACATCGCCACATTCTTTCCGAACGTACCAAAATCATTGTTAAATTTCATTCCGGCCTCTTTTTGCCCAGGGGATTGCAATCCGTTGCAAATTCCCGAATGGTTGGACATTGATAAGTATCGCAAGGGTCAGAAATTTGTGCGTGAAAATTTTGCGTCAATTTTCATGGGCATAATACTTGGCACTATCCATGTTTACACCTTCAATGAGGTTTTAAAACCAATAATCATATCAAAGGGCTCTCATACGCCATATTTAGGTTTCAAAAGGTATATATAATTTAATATATAATTAAATATATAATTAAATTTTGACAATACTTTGTACCGAGTACTGTGACTTGTGCAGAAAGAATAACAAAATTATTTGCTGAGAATAATCAATAACTGCGTTCAGCAAAAACAGCAATTTAGCATTTTTTAATATAATTGGTTTAATAAGTACATACATTTAGATCTATTGAAGAACTAAGGACAAAAACACCAATTGTATTAAAACATCTTAGTTGCAAAGGTGCTTTTTTCACTAAACGTGGCCAATTTTTCTAAAATTATCTTCAACACGCTATTTATAATACAATATTCATTAATATTATATTTTTATTTCATTGGTTATATATTTATATTTTATTAGTATTAAATATTATTTTCCTTATTTAAAATTTATACACTGTTATATGATATTATATGTTAATTTTATGACATCATCAATTAATGTTAATATTTTTTCTAAATTGATCATAATAATGTAATTATAACTTACAAGGTATACTCAAAACGTACAACAATTCATTAAGTGGTACGATGGAGAGCCTTGAATTGAAGGAACAGCAGCCTATAAAGGCATGCAATTTACGCGTAGAATGCATTTAATAATACAATCAAAATTGTGCAAGCTCGATCATGAGCAAATTGACAACGAGTCCAAAATCGCAAAGCCGTGGTGCCCGGATCACGAGTTGTTTTTGAAGGATTTTGCCGCGGCGTGTCCACTTGAGAAAGACGGACAACGTCCTAACGTCCTGATTTACAAGTCACCATATAAGCCAAAAGGCATAAATAACGCGGACCTGGCAGCAGCACAGTGCTGTTTCATAAGTTTAGTTTTACTTTACCCGCAAAAGATTGGAGTGCATAACGCGACCGATGAAGACATCGAAGCATTTTGCCATATGTGGAGATGTTACGGATATTATCTCGGAATAGAGGATGAGTACATATTTTCTTAAATTCTAGTAAAAATTATAGGCGTAATGTTTCAAAATTCTTTTTCAATTTTAAATAAACTTTTTATTTTGATGTAATAATTTTTTCAGGCACAACTTCTGCCGCGGCAGTCTCGAGGAAATAAAGCAGCGCGCTCGGGATTTATATCAATATTGGGTATTGCCTAATCTTAAGGAAGTTACACCTGAATGGGAACATATGACGAGATGTTTTAGCGAATCAATGAATTACTATCCCTTGCTGTACACACCTTACAAAATAACTGCATTATTTGCTATGGATACGTTAGATGTAAGCATGCCGCATTTGTATGCGTCAATGAGTTACACAGAATGGATTGGTTATAATATGTTGAGGTGAGCATATATATATGTAAATATTTAATTTATTCTATAATGCTGCTCTAGATCATCAAATATTAAATATTGTCAATTTAGTCAAACAATTA